TAAAAGTCTAATTAAAGTATACTCTTTACTATAAACTTCGCATAGACTATTATAGAGTTACACTACATATCTCACATATTCCACAAGCCAAAGTTTAATTCTGAAACTTGGTTGTGTCACAATGTCTTTACAGCAAAGCCTGTTATTGTAATATAATATGATACAATTTTAACATTATCACAACATATTATTACAAACATCTTTGCTGAAAAACTGTTACTATTATGTATGCTTAATATATTTTGTAATATCACAAACTGTGAATGTCTTGAGAGCTAAACAAAGTATCTTTGGGCTAATGACATTAGTTTAAAATAGTTTAAACTATTGCCCTGCCCAATAATCTTATTATTTGGCAGAAAATCATATTAAGCCGCCAAATAAAACTGTTATCAGGCAGTGACTGCCTGATAACTAGTCTTCTAAGCAAAATTCATGAGTAAGAACTTTTTGAGATTCTTTTGCATGATGAATATTAACACTTGTTTAAAACTTTTGTGGCAATTTTTTATCACGGTATTAGTGAAATGTTCGGTTCTATAAAGGATACTTTAAAATATATAAATAAGTTACTGGCCAATAGATTTACGCAAACTATAAGATGAATTTCTTTCTAAATCCGTGGACCAATTAACATCCCTAGTTTGGTGGCTTTGGTCACGATTTCTTGGTCATGATACTCAGTCATGTCTACAGCCAGTTATTTGGTAGGAAAATAACTGTATGGCACTTGCTTACAAATAGTGATTTTTCTAATCAACGACTAAATGTCTAATCTGCTGAATGATAATTTTTTGTAGGTCACAATACGTAAAAACTCGTTCGTGGCAGGTAATTCATCAGAATTTGATAATGTATGTGTATAATCGAAGTCGGATTTAGCTATCACAACAGAAAGCGATGCACTATTTTTATCTTTTGCTGAAGCTTGGCTGAAGCAGAAACAGACAATAAAACTAATCAAACAAGTTTTAGTTTCAACTGAGCCACATGTATCTTCGACATGAATGGCAAATCGATTTAATTAGGATACTGTATAAAAGCCAATTTTAAGCAATAATATTTATGCAATATTTTTAAATGTGTATAGATTAAAAGTCATAATATTTACGCAATATATTTAAATATGTCGGTTCAGTTAAGCCTTTCGAAAAATTTATTGGAAAATCTCCATAATTTGCATCCCAAAGTTGTCAAATTTAAGATCCATTGGCGAATTTATGAAATGTTAAAACTTTTGACTACTAATTTGTGGTACTAATATTTCTGTCTAACGAAGATGGTTTAGATAATTGGAAGATGGGCTAGATGCTTGTCGACTTAGACCTGTAGATCTGAGACCCCCATTAATTTTTTTCAGGGCATTACGTACTTAAAAGCCTAAGCACAAATAATATTCTAAGCCATGCTTGCTAAAGAGCTAAATATTGTCGCTGTACACTGATTTCGAACATGTAAAAAAGATTCTTTTACTAAAATGAGTGAAGGAATTGAAATTTTGCAATCATCTGGACATATCGATTAACTAATTGTAATAAAACCTAAGCCATTTGAACCACATAATGGCAAGGAAATAACAAAATTTTTAATATCACCAAATAAAGAGTATGCTGCGACATGGAGTAAGGATGATGATTCAGTTTACGGATGGCTACTTGGTAAAAATCAACCCTTCAAGTTTGATCATTTTATAAATGTTAAAGACTTTTGTGAGTACTCAGCGCCACAATTGAGCGCAGTTTCAAATAATAAACTTGTCGCAATAGAATCAACCAACAAAGAACTTCTTAATTATAGAGTAATTGGTTAGTAACAAATAAATAAATAATTAGTAAATAAACGTTTATATTCCTTTAAAGAGATCATTGATCTTGTCAACCATAAGAAAATAAAACTAAAAACCTTATTTCTAGATAAGCCAGTGGAAGAAATTTGCCTTGTTGGCTGTAGATTTTATAATGATGGAAATTTAGTTATGGGAGCACAAATACCAAATAATTATGATTATAGAACGTATTATGAAGTTTTTATTTTTCCATTTAAAAATTTAAACAAACAAAGTTGGAAAGTTAAGAATCAATTACACTTGGAAGATCTGGAAATATGAAAGTATATGAGTTTACTGACAATGAAAAGATTATGATAATTGATGTTTGTGGTTCATTAATGCAGTGGGATTTGAATACATTATCATTTGAAAAGCAATATCAATTAGAATGGAATGATATTTGGGCACTCCATCTATTTGAAAAAGATTATTATGTTTTTAATAAAAGTTTTACATTATTCGCGGTATGTTTACAGGTTTCAGATTGTTTAGAAGCAGACATGTTTATCTCTGTTTATTTGACAAAAAATGCAATGCATTTATCACAACGTATGTACTTTAAAGGCATATATTAAAAAATATTAGTTATTAATTTAATACAATTAATTGTTATGATTATCAGACAAAATTAAATATGATGAATATGAAGAAAATGAAGAAAATAAAGGAAACAAAATAAAGAAAACTTTATTACAATTGGAATTTATTTCATCTGATGAAGGAGAAAGATTACTTTTATTTTTTAATGACAATAATCTTGAAATAAGAGATCCTTACCATCTTCAGCATTGCTTTACTAGGACTATTTCAGATCTGTGTAAAGAATTTTCAATATTAAGTAGAGAAGAAACTTTGATGATGTTTGAAGATTTGATAGATGAAAAAATATTTAACATATCAAATAGACATTTATGGGTTCAAGAGCTTTCTAAACAACAATGGGCCACATACTTACGAGAACAATTAAAATATACATATACAATAGACGTTCTATTTAGTAAAACTCCAATAGAGGATTTTTTGCAAAAAATTATAGATGAACATAGTGATAAGAGTGATGATGATTTTATTGTCAAGAAAATAAATCAGTCGTATCATGGGTCATTAGTAAAATGGGAAGTAATTGAAAACGGAAGATTAATACAAGCTCAAAAATTTGATTCGACTACAAATGAATGGAAATCTTTAGAATGAAATTTACTCAAAACAATTAATAGAGCCTGAAAAATCTCCAAAAATTTGTTTATAGATGTAATTTATTGTATAATGAAGATTTAATAATTATTACATCTATTGGATTATTAATTTTGTCTGTTTGGAAGAAAGATGAAATTAGATTACGATATTACAAGGGGCATCCTTTTAAATATAGTTTTCTAATCAAAAAGGATCTTAAAAATCAATTGGCATCAGATGCCTATCCAAGAAAGGAATCTGAATATAAAAAAAAACAATTTTTTGCAAAGAAATCATATATTCAAAAATTACTTGATGAGATAAAACAGCATAAAGAATTTTCATTGCCACCACCAAATTTTGATGCAATTACTCGTCATCAAGAAGATTTATGCATGGATGGGAGATACCCTTTTAAAGAATTAATAAACGATTATATTGAAGACAAAATAACAATGACATTATATGGAAGTAAACTTTTAAATAGCATTTTAAATAATAATCATCAAATAGTAGAGAAATTGTATAATAAACTTTTTGCAAATATTAATTTATTAAATGTTGCTGCAAGTTCATTTAATATATTAATCTCAAAATACCCTCAATATTTGGAAAACTTTTTATCACAAACTTCATTTATTTTATCAAGTACAGATAAGAAAATTGCAATTAGGGATTATCCATTGGAATCACATCTTCAAAGTCATATAGAATATCATTAACTTTCTCTTAATTCATTTTCCAATAAGTTGATTTGGGGTTTTAATTTTTTAATAGAAACATATTTTAAAAAACCTGGTCAAATTTTACCAACAATAGTTTTAATTTATCCATTGCCGAGATTTAATTCTTATAATTATAATTATAATCCTTGGAAAGAATTGCTCTTTCCAAATAATAGCCTTTTTACTGAATTTCAGATTCTTGAACTTTATAAGTATTGGCATGGTGAAGCTCTTCTTAATTTCAAATGGAACACCTATGGAAAATATTACTTTTTTGTTATTTGGACTTTTTATTCTATTTTTATGAGTTGCTTTTTGATAGTTGCTACTTTAGAAAACGAATTATCAAAAGAAATTCAGAAACAATTATTAATTGCAACCATTATTTTAGGCGTTTTACAATTTACTTTAGATACAAATACAAATATGTTTATAAATTTAGATACAGCATTTTTGGCTATGTATATGATGCTAACAGGTAATTTATTTATTTTTATTTACTTTTTTCTAATAATTATTATAATAATTTATAGATACATAATATATAGGAGATTCGTCTTACTTGTCTAATTAGTCATTATCTGAAAATCCGATGTTTGCAGTATTGATAGTTCTTTTTTCTCTTTTTACAATTATCTAGTTAATGAACCTGTTTATTGGTTGGTTAAGTAATTTTATTGGTGAAACAAATAAAAAAGGAACGATTTTTACTTCAAAAAGCAAAGGTATTAATTTATTAAAAATTAGTATGATAATATTTTTAAAATTATTTATATATATATATATATATATTTTGAACAGATTTTATCAGAAATAGAACTTTTTTATATGTTGCTATATCAGCGTAGAAAAAAACACTGGTTTCCCGAGCAATTGTAAATATTAATTTATATATTGTAAATTTTTGTTTTAGGCAAATTTATTTGTTATCGGTGGTTACTATCACTAAGTTTATACAAAACTTCAAAATTTTTAATCTAAATAATTCAAAAATTATACAACTTTATTTCTAACAAAAAATTCCAACCTTTATTACATATTAGAACCTGCATTAAAAATCTTGTTATTGTACCGCTGGTTACAAATATATTTTTTATTTATTATTTATTAATATTTATTAATTTCATAAAGATTTTATAGATTTAGACTTGATGAACTTTATAAAATAGTATCTAGAATTCAAAATGATAAATGGGAAGATACTATCAAGCCACCATTTCTTTCTAATACGCTTTTGAACCTTATTGATGCAGAGAAAGATCAAAATTTAAAAAATAATTATGAAAAGGAAATTCAAGAGTTAAAAACTTTTTTTAGTGAAGAAATTGAAAAACTAAAATCAATGATAGATGAATTGAAAAATTCGAAATAAAAGTATTATTTAATTTGATTCAACATGCTGTATTAATAAAATGTTTACAAAGTAGTATCTTAAACAATAGTAAATATAGAGTTTCTAAAATGAATAATTATAAATTGTCTCTTTAAGTAACTTTGATGTTTGGTAGCTGATATAATTACAGAAAAAACTTAAGTTATTTAACAAGTACAACAACTATCAGATAACCCATTATTGTATTCTATATGGCAACAACTTGTTTATTTATGCTTTGCAGTTACGTACCATATATAAAATACAATCTGATGCTGAACAATTATACCACATATGTAAAAAAAATTTATTATCCCATGACCATTATATAACAACCCATTATTGTTATATTTTAAATCGATACGTGAACTAATATGTTAGAATACATTTGACCCAACTCCTGCTGTTATTATTTTTAGGCCAGTGTTAAGTAATTATTAACAATAGAAATAATTGTTTTAGGTATAAAGTCCCAGCTGGACGTATTACAGTATTCAGTGGTTATAGTGAAACTGGAACTGATCTATGAACTTTAAATACTGCAATGTATCAATAACAACTAGAAACATTTTAAGTTAAATTACGATTCTAATTCTTTCTTACATGTAGCAACAAAATTGGTGAATATTGTATGTTTTTTGATTTGGTAACATTTTCAGTATTTTATGCTTTATATTTAATTTTATTTAAATTTGTTAAACCTTTATTTGCTTAACGAGTTTAAATATATGACAAGAAGATTACTATAGATGGGTTATTTAATTTACTCCAAATATTATGCAAGAATTCTAGATACTAAAAACAATAATTTAATTATTGGTGGCACTATTTGCGTCATTATAGGCAATAATATTTTCTTAGTAGTATTCGTTATTGCTATTACTTCAATGTTTATTGATTAATATAATAATTTGACTTCTAAACGACGTAGATACTGTAGTTTTGTTCTTTTCATTAATATGTACAACAGTAGATACTAGGGATGTTAAACCGTTTAACTACTTTGAAAATCAAATATAAGTTTAAATAGTAAAATATAGGGTTTAAAATCCCACGTTAGTAATGATTCGCTTTGCCGTTATGTTAGGGTCTTAAGATGTGCCAAAATTTAGTAAGGAAAAATTTTTATCAACACACAGAAAGCAGTTTTACAGGGCTATGAGCGATTTGTGAGTTTGGATCGGCCAGCAAAATTTTCTTTCGTTTATCGAGTAATTCTTTAAAGTTCATAGGATCTATAAATAACTAGGGTAGCTGCGCAGCGTGTTACCCCGCGCAGGACCAGTACGATCTTATATTTTGATAACAACAATTATGACA